CACTACTCGCTGATAACTATGTCACGCATCAATGCATCTAATTTTTACATTTAATCCGCGGCATTCAGGAAATGTCTATGTTCCCACGCGTTCCCGACTAGAAACTTATCCCGTGGCTCTGATCAGGTTAATCTCAAATAGTTATCTGGTTTGTACAAGGTTATTTTATCGGGTCTTGATAAGTCATATATCTAGCGCAACATAGCGATAAAAATCTTATTAATAATAAGAATTATTAATAATTAACATATTATTTTTAACGGAACGTCAACTTGTACAGATTTGTCATTAATTTCATCCAGATATATCTGATTCAGATTACCCGATAATATCATATGGAAAAAAAATTGACCAAATTAACTAAATATTTGGTGAAATATGAATTCCAGTTGGACTTAAATGGTATATAAGTATGTGAATGTTTTATTAAAGCAGTGTTAACAAGTTTGGGGCGATTTTAGTGTATGAGTTAAATATGAGGGAGGGTCAGAGAAAAGTAAGTAGGAATGAGTGTATAGATAATATGTAAGTGAAGACGAAACAAGGCATTAGGTAAAGAAGCAGGATTCAGGGCGGAAAAATGCATAGATAATAGAGGTCATAAGCGTCATAAGTATAACGTCATAAGCAATGAGTAGTTAGGGTAGCGTAGGTAAAGCAAGCAAACTAAAATTAGTATAATAATGCAGTGAAAATTATCAATAGGGAAAATGTATAATAGATAATAATAGAAGACATAAGAGAGATAAAGGAGAAAGGAAATATGAGAAATTAAGACGAAAGATGATCTGCTAGGATCAAATAGGATAAAGAAACAATATAAAAAGATATATGGAGAAAGGCTGACACAAAGACTATCAAGTCGATCAGGTGCTGTATAAGTAAGAAAGGTAAAGTGCAAAGAATAAGAAAAAGGTTATAAGATATAAAAGAAAATTATAAGAAAATTCTGACAATACGTAAAAGCTAATAGAGACATACAGGAAATAAAGAAAAATGCGGAAAAATCACTTTATGGAGAAGTGATTAGTGAGAAGTATAGAATAAAGTAATGAAACTAACAAGATATGAAAAAGAAATTGGGAAAAAAGTACGAAGGATAATAAAGATTTTGATAATTGAGAAATCTTAACCTGATCAAGACCATGGAACAAATTTCTCATCATCGTCTTTGCGATTCGTTATTAAGACGCTTTCCAGTTAGCAACACGAGTTGGCACAAGCATTATTCTATTTTTGTTTCATATTCAGTGAGTACCATAGGCAAAATAATGTTTATGTCAATCTGTGTCACTATATTACTGCGTGCTACTACGAGTGTTTTCGTAGTAGCACGCATACTGCGCATAAGACGCACAGAACAGGACGCATAGATGCGGACCTTCCACACAGAGGTCAAAAATAAGATGACAGGCAAAAACGCGGAAAGATAGGAGAACTGGGTAGGCAGACGCAGGCAGAGCGTAGTGCCGGGCATTGTCTCTGAGGCAGTTGTTGCCTAAGTGGCTTGTTTCCACGCTTTCTTGGCTCTCCGTCGCCGCGCCACGTTGGAATCGCGCGCTGTCCATGTACAAAATCCACCTTAATAGTAGTGTGCACCGCGAAGCTCGACCGCAATCGTCGCTACCGCTATTACTTTAAGACTCGATTGCATCAAGACTACGGATTGAATAACGCCAGCCTGCTAACGATACCCTGGCATTTCCCAGAGTACGATTCCGACCGCGACACTGGCGAAAGAAAGGATTTTAATTAATCAACCGCACCGACGATTGCGAATCTTCGTCGCCTCTCTCGAGAAAGAGAGAGATCGCAATGATCTCACCTACGTTGCGGACAAAAGAAAGGAAATTCAATCGCAGCAACTAGATAACGAAGCTATAGAAATGAACATTTGCAAGAGTGTTAGTGTAATGAAAGAATAACGACGCTCGAGGACGCGTAAATTCGGAATCCTCTGTTCCAGGCTTGAAATTCAACGAAGCAGAACGCATATTCTCGTCGAAAACAGTTGAGAAATAGTTTATTACTCGCGTGGAGTAAGTTCAACGATGAGCTCGCGAATTACGATTTCGATGCAAGTCATGAAGGCTAGGAAAAAAATGTCTGAAATACAGACCCGATTCCGGTGAAATCCGCGGAGACACTATTGCGCGTATTGGTGACTTCCATTGCTCTTTCTTTCTCTCGTCTTGATCCATTCTCCTCGCAAAGGAGAGAATTGCCGCCAACGGGAGAACACACGCGCAATACAATATACTCGGCGATAATAAACGACCTGGTATTTAAGGCGGACGCAAGTAACCCTAACCGTTTCGCTTGGCCGCAGTTTGCGTCTTTTGAAAAGATATAAATGAAGAAGGAAACGAAAGGACTAAAGCAAGTATACGAGGAATTCAATTATAAAGCTAATTGCAGAATGAGAAAAACGAAGAATTTTATTTCAGCGAAGGCTAATAATTGAAGAAAAAAGAAAGAGTTGAACGAAACATCTGTTGCAGAAATTTTCAATAATTCTCGCGAATATTATGAAAGACATTAGCAAAAAACAACTTGTTAATAATAACCTGATAAAATACAAAAGATTAATTTTGAGACATGACGAAAGGCAGAAAATCAATTTTCTTTCAATTTCATACACTATGAAAAAAAATACCTAAAAAATAGTAAATATTTGTTTATCTATACACATTTATTTAAATCTAAACTTTTATTTAAATGAAATAAATAATTGCTTTCATAAAAAGCTAAGGTTAAACTTTTCAGAAAATGTGTATTCTCTTATTTGAAAAATATTTTATATTAGTAGAATTTTTATATATCGTTATAGCATTCACCGAATAAATATTATTTAAAAGTACTTTTACTAAAAAATTTATTATTTCTTAAATATTTTTCCTCTCAATGTATCGAAGTTCGTCTTGTCTCGAAGAAACATTCAATTCGACGACATAATTTCCCTGGAATCACTAGCCTTCTAAAATTTGCACAGCTTAGCTCCGGATCTTATAGCGCTTTTCTCCTTCGAGAACGAACGTACGCCTGACAGGTGGAAGCGTAAACCTGCGTTTCCGACCTTTTCTGCATCGAGTTCCGCGTTATCGAGTTACGTAATCGAGCGCGCTTTGCGTGCTCGAATACATCGCGTAACAAATTTTCCGACCGGAATAATGTTGGAAAGCGGCTACGTCCGTTAGACACGAAGGTGAAAATTTCCGGAAGATTCCGGTCAGCTGCGTCATTTTCGTTTCGCGCGTGTATCCGCCGTCTTGCTTTTCAATTCTCGGTTGCAGCACCATTATAGCGAAAATGAGGAAAATCAAGTACTTTTAACAAGACGTCGTTTAACATTGCAACGCTGTCATTAAAGAGTGCAGCCAAGAGGCTCCTTAATTTCTTCGTATCTAATTTCCCAATTAATTATGTTATAAAACGAAAAATAATCACGAATAGATTACAAGTATATAAATTTCAAAGTATACCCTTTCACTGTTACCAGAAAAAATGGTAAAAGTTTCAAGTCCGACAGATAGTGCCACTAAAAAAGTAAAGAATGCAATTTATTATGCAAATAAAATGTCTTTATTCAAAATATTATTTACATCGCGAGTCATATCACTCAAATTCTCGTAGAGAATGACAAAATTTTGAAACTTTTAGAGCCCATTTTTTTATAAACAGTATGAAAGAGTACACTTTGATGCTTATATATTTGTAATCTAATATACTCGTGATTATCTCTGGCTTTATAACAAAATTAATTAAGAAATCGAATACGAAGAAATTCTGGAGCATCGCCTATGGCTATTTGACCACATTCTTTGACAACGCATAATTTGCGACAGTACAACTGGCATTTCGTTCAACCGCTAGGAACACGATAAGTTATACCGTAAAATGAAAGAGTTAAAACAAATTTCAGAAGTTTCAAAATTTTGTCATTTCCAATAAGAATTTGAGTGATACAACTCGTGATGCAAATAATACTTTGAATAAAAACATTTTATATGGTTATGTAATAAATTGCATTCTTTAATCTTTTCATCACGATTCGTTAACAAAAATGAGTTTAATTGTACAAAAATGAGTTTAATTGTACAACACGTTTAACGTTCAACGTTACGTTAAACGGGCTCTGATGAGAATGTTCTCCATAGATAAGAGTTATCTCTTGGCTCAATGTGTAGCGTGATATCGAAAGATTTATATTCAACGAGGACAATATATCATTGTACGAGTATTGCGCGGACTTATCGATCGCAAATAAAAAGCGTTGCAGTGATAAGTGCAGTAATCTAAGCGGCGATATTCTTAATCAAACATTGCGATATAGGATTCGAAAAGGCTGGCTGATGTTTACATAGCGCGTGAGTCTGTGTGACTCAATCTCCGTTTACTTCGTAATAACACAATACGGAGCGATGTAATAAAATATAAAATCGAAGGAAAGAGGATTAACGCTCGAGAAAGTGGAGCACTCTCGTTGCAACTGCGTAGCCGTTGCGGCAATTGTGCGTAGTACACGCACGTGCATTGCGCGTACGTACGTACAACACAAAACGTAGACGTATAGACTTGGAGGAAGGGGCGAAGAAGGAGGAGCTTTTCAATTACAAATTTTTTTCCTAACGCATTTTCATTTTCGCAAGAGTGATATCGCAACTAATGAAAGTGCCTCGTTAAACCGCGAGCTCGCTCCACTCGCTCTACTGTGTGCCTCTCGTTATTTTTCATCTAATTATATAAACGTTGAGTAGAGAATTACGCAAGTATCTATATATATAGTAATAGTGCGCGGCCACGATGAATCGCTTATATATTTTATTATCTAAGCGTGAAAATGATAAGCTATCTCCTCGTCGGTTTCCCTTTTATCTGCGCTTATCAGTCCCTGAATTTTACACGCTTGCGATAGAAAGTAATTGATTTCGTTTCGCCGTTTCCTCATTATTACGAGTTGGGCATGCGCGTCAACAACTTCAGTCGAAAGTTGTACTCACCTCCAACTTGGCGGAGTACTCCTCGGCTAAGGTCTCGGACTGCTTCGTCAGCTCTTGATTCCTCTCGAGCAGGGCCTTGCCGAGTTCAGCAGCCAGCACGAGATCCCTCTCGCGTTGCTTCAGTAATTCGGCGGGGTCCTGCACAGCGTCCTCATGATCTATCGAGTGCCTCCTCGCTTGCAGATCCGATATCATGTCCTCCAGAGCGTAAGGCTCCATTTGATTGTCCTTCTTCGGCAACATTGTCGCCGGTCCTCCTCGACAGAGGACCACGTCACGTTCTGAACCGGACGCGAACTCGGATACAGATCAAACTCGTGGATCACAACCGATATAACGGAGAAAAGGTACACGCGGTCTCGGTTAACACACAACGGCACACGTCAGACGCATTCGACACGGACAACGGTATGATAACGTGAGTGACGTCGTCACTCTCGGCTCTCCTTCGTCGTAGAACGGTCGTGCGTAGGTAGCGCCTGGCTATCGGGTGCCATTGATTAGCTGAAATCAATTAAATTCGGATTTTTATTTTCGTTGCGCTTGATGTGCAAAACGCGGAGATGTGCAACGTCGAGGAGGGGCGCGAAACGTTCGGAAAAAGCGCGGACTGAATTAAATTTAATAAAGCTAAATAATCCCTCTGACGACGTGACACTTCATTAAATTTTCTTTAACTTGATTATAATGTGTTGTAAAAGAAAAAGAGAGTAATGAGAAATGTCAAATAATTAATAACGAGCTTTAATAGATCGAGTCGTACATATCGAACATAATTTGTTGATTAAATATAAATTTTCGAACAAATTATTTTCTGCAACTAGAGGGTACATTATAAATTTATTGTTATCGCGTCGTGTTTTCTTATTGTTTATTGGATATATAGACTTTAATTGAACGTGCAATTCCGCGCAATAAGGAAATAATTATTCGTCGGACACTTATTTACGCCGGCGGATGCTTATCATATTAATGATAAGAAAACGCACAGGTAAAGCACATATATTCGTCATACCTGCCACACGCAAAACAACATGGTATCAACGCGATCAGGTATTCACGTATAAATCGTTTCAAAATGCCGTTTAAATCTTATTTATATATGTCTCATCTCGCACACACAACAGCGTTATCTACTTATCTAGAATATTCGATACGTGCGAAATTCCTATTAAAAAAAAGCAAGACAAAGTAAACCAAACTTCATTCAACGTTCTCAATTGTTTCTACGATAACGGGAGATTTATGCATTTAATAATCAATCAATCATGTATACACGTTTAATTAGCATCGTGTATATTGCCATTTGTTATTACTTTTCTTTCGGACTCTATTCCGCGGAAACTCTGAAAAGCGCCGGTCCGGTGCCTCCGAAGATTTTAACAATCCACTTCGCCGGAGGGCCGCGTGTGCACGACCCAAAAAGCTTCGGGGCCTTGAAACTTCGCGTACAACGAGCACGCGATTGCGGAGGAGGCGGCAATATGAACGAAGCATAACGAGCTCACCTCGACTCAGCTGGTCTCGACGCGCGAAACACGAGTCGCCGAGGACACCAGGACAGATCTTGCGGATGTTCCTGATCGGTGTCGCGCGCACTACTTGGTCGACGCGCTCGCCCGCTACCGGAAGCGAGCCCTAACACTGCATCTGGTGCACTCGTAATCGCGCGGGTGACACTGTCCCAACAGTCCCCGCGATGCCATCACTACAGCAACCATCGGCGACGATGACAATGACGACCGCAACAACGACCACCACGACGGCAACCACGTTCTCATCGCGCGTGTTCACCACGCGGCACGAGTGCAACGCACCGATGCACCTTCCGCCGCCGGCACCCCGAAGATATCGATCGCGGAAGTTTGCCGCGCTATCGGTTAACAACGTCGTCCTCTTCCACCGTTTCTATTACACCTCACGACTTCGCCAGCGTGGATCTAAGGCCGCTTCGCGCGCCGCGCACCGCTGCCTCACAGTCGCGTGTGCTAACATCGGCTTAGCGGTTTCGAACAAAGAAGAAGCAGGTCGTTGCGAACTGTGCGATTTAGAGAATTGCCTGGCTGGGATGGAAAGTCCGTCCGTTTGCAACACGACAATACTCCGACAATTCGCCACGAACGTCCGCAAGCGCGCGTCAAGCAATCGCGGTCTGTAACTCCACTCACGAAGGAAGGAGAGATTACGGCGCACTTGAAGATCGATGATTCTCGAGGCTAAACCGCGCCGCCAAGCCGGGAATGGACCATGTGAATTACGACGTAACGATAGTCCAGCAATGCACAGATAGTTTGCTCGCATAAATAACGACTGCGTTCACTTCAGCGGAGGAACGACCGCAAAAAGGATCGATGGTGCTCTCTCAAGCACTGCACTGTTCACTTCGAAATAACGAGGCGAGGTATCCTTTATGGTGTCAGCGTTATACACAAATTGCAGATCCTGTCGGCGCGTATCCCATTCGTGCGCCCAATGAACGACCAATCGTTTCTGCAAGAAGAATCAAGACACTTATTTTTAATCGCCGCGCATCTCTGCCCGACTCGAAATTTTAGACCTATTTCCGACTTGAACTTTCTGATAACTATATATTCCGAAGGATCAATATATGTTTAATATACATGGAAATTGAAATTCTACTTAACGTCTCTAAACGCCTCTAAAACGCATAAAATGTTACTTTCAAAGAAGACCTCTCGGCGAAGTTAGTAAGTTAAATTATGTCAAGGGTTGAATTGATGTAGGCTTCAGAGTATCAGAAAGTAGACGTTAAATGGAACATTGAAAGCAGGATCAAAATGTCAACTCTCGACTCTGATACTATATTTCGAAAATCCAGTTTTCAAGAACGCCACTCGGGTGTGCCTATAAACGACTCGCTAAACATATGACGTAATGCGTTATTTTCGTCTCGCGGACATGCAATTAATTATTCAGCGAACGAAACGTTTGGTCCGCGAACGACTCGGCCAACACGTTTCAAGGAAAATATCAATTATAATCGCTAACTTGGAGCCTTGATTACGACACGGTGTGCTACTTCTCTTCTTTCTGCTTCAGAGCTAAGTGTTCCTCCACGAGTTACTCGACAGCTATTCGCGTCACCCCAAGAGTTTCATTCGTGAAAAGAAAAGACACCGGATATAGCGAGCTGACGAAGAACAGCCGCGTGGGTAGACTTAATCATGCGCTTCGCGATTTCGATAGCGCGAAAATCGATTCCAGACACGAATCGAACAGCTGTGCGTTCTGGATACCGATTGTGCATCATGTTCCCTGAACATGAACATGAATTCGTGAAAAGTGAAGAGTTCCACGTGAAAATATTCTCATTTCCATTGTTCGCGAAGTGATATAATCGCTAAAGTCGTCGAGTTCGCGTGAAACTTTTCACCTTTCATCTCTCCTTTTGAAAAGAAGTTACACAATCACTACCGATCTATCGAAACTGACGTTTCCGAGACAGCGATGAGAGAATTCCCGCGACCGATCGACATACGAAAGCGGGCCCGCACGATAGCACCAGCGCGATGCAATTGCGCTGCATTATCCTTGAATGACAATAAGTAGCCGAGTCGATGGTCACGGACGGCACGTGCGACAATTCACATTTATCGATTCGTATGTCGGCTTAGCGACGCAATTTTCTGTCTCACGCCGTCTCGCCACGTCTCTACGATCGCTCTCAACCTTGTGCAGCGGATAAATCCAATAAAGGGGATGAATTTAAACCGCGTTAGAGCCCGTGCTACGTTTATCATTGATTCGATCGACGACTGCGGAACAGTACAGTCGCGAGCACATTCCCTCGTGACCATCGCTCTTGTTCCGCATTGAGAAGAGAAAATGCATGGTATTTGCAACTATAATTACACAGAAAAATAATCGCTACAAATTATAGTACAAAACTACTATCATTTACTAAATTCTACTACAATGTTAATGATAATCTCATGCGTATATTACTATATACTACGATTTTACTACAAAAAAATATAGAACCAAAAGTATAACTATAATTTATAGATCGACGATTTTTTCTCTCAGTGCGGTGGCTTTCCATCGATACCAGCTGGAGTCAGCGTTTCTCTTTGTCTATGAATCTTTCCGTCGAGCCGGAGGAATTTCTCTCAAACAGGAGGATTTCTAACAAATATAATGGACGAGAAACCGCGGAATACACAGGCACGTCTCTCGCATGCTCTTTAACTCTTAATAAATATTTGACAATTAATGGAAGTTAACTTGAACTGTATATTCCGCAGTTATTAATGATCTTCGAGAAAATAAAGAAATCGAGCACTGTCTCACGCACCTGCACGCACTTCACTGCCGCGAGATATCACTGAGAAGCACGCGCGAACGCGGGGATGCCGCGGGAGCGATTGTGAATTCAGTCGCACAGCAGACAGACTCACGGATCTACCTGTTCGCTGTGCCACGGTCGGCCAGGTAGTGACTCACTAGTCGTGAGTGGAAAATAAATATTACGGAATCGCGCGCCGCTCGTACAGCGTGCTCCAGCACGCGAACGACCAGCGCGCCTTCTCCCACCATATTGCCGTACGGTTGAAAGTAATTCGTTCGGCTCGACGTACTGCCGCCCGCTCGCTCGCTCGACCGACCGCCTCTTTGTGTCGGCTCGTGTAAACACGAGCACGTAAATTCGCAATGATAACGTTCGTTAAATATTTCTTATTTGCTTCTCTCTCACGTCGGATTAAAACATCAGATTAAAAGACGCGGGATTACGAACGAAAAACGAAGAAAGAGCAAATTGGTCACGTCAATCCTCCAGTGCGATTTTGGAGCTAATTCACGATAACAGCCGTCGCGATTTGTCACGATATCACGTGATATCGCGCAATATCAGTCATCTCGACATTTATATATAGCATCCGCTATCGTACCGTACATACTCTGCAAAAATCGTCCTTTCGCGTATCGATCGGAACGTACCTGAAGCGCGTCCGCCGAAACCGTTGTTGAACTCTAAACCGACCTAACGGTCGATCTTAACGACGAAATTTCATGCAAGAGACTCGTGTTATCGTCGAGATGACAACAAAGTCACGTACGACAGCACTGACGCGATCGCGGACGCTTGCAGAACCGGAGAGGTGCCGCGCGCGTACGTTACTCGCGCGGGCAAAACCGATCGACCTAGCGACCTTCCCGTCCGGAGGTGAACTAACGTCTCCCCCGTCTGTATACTCAAGCGTGCCCCCACCACTTGACCCACCTGGTCAAACCACCACCTGACTCGGCTCCACCGAATCTACGAATCTCGCATAAACGTACCGAACCTGATACTTGCTCCTCTCGTTCGTGAGACTTACTACACAAGAAAAGACGCACGAATCTACGATACAATGTAGCCGACGTATCCGCTGTTATTGATTGCCAATCGATCGCGTGAACATGTTCAGAGAGCAAATACAGCTTGTGAACAGCGGAAAACAATTATACATAGCGAAATATAGGAGTTGTGGGAAATATTATATGCATGTTCGCTACCATGATTTACTTAGAGAAATCTCTCCATAAACTACATTACATTTGTTTTCATATAATTATGTAAAACAGACTTGGCTTGTTTTTAGATACGGATATTTTAAAAAAATGTTATATGTGACGTTGATAGCAAAAATATATTAAATAAAATTGAAAATTTTGAGTAAAGAGATGAACCTGAAATGAGAGATCAGTGCATCACATATGTGCAATGCTGGTAGCGAATGTGTTAAGATTTATAAAGAGATATACAAATATAAGAGATATAAGATATATGTATGATAGTAACTATTACACACGAGGAAAGACTAAGAAAATAATAAATAAATTTTCCAAAAATATTACGTAAAACTAAATAGTAATTATGTGTAATCGCAAAAATAATACGACTATATTTTCTTCTTTACATTAAAAAATTACAGAATTAAATTATAGAATAAAAGTTTACGAATAAAATCTCAAAAAAAACTGTCGTGGAACGCATATTAACGTAGCTATATATTGTCGAGTTATACGATCCAAAGGTTAGAATATATAAATTACTTTTCATCAATGGAAAGTGATGGGTGACAGTTCGCTAAGTACAAGACATCAAATATTAATGATTAGAGATTTTTCTGCGATCGTAATAAGCGCTTTGTAAATCGCATTAACGTCACACGTTCGCGAAAGATAAGCTCCAAAAGTCTGACGCGACTGTAACAGATAAAACACGAGGTACACGAAAAAAGAATTTCAATCATAAGAGATTTTGCTACTATCAGAATAAGCGATCACTGTGCAAACTGTATTCAGGTCGCATCACGCATTCGCGAGAAATAGGATCCGAAAGGACGTCCCAACCTTGACAGGTGCATCACTAAATAACTGTAACTTATTCCTGTAACGTTGCAATATAAGTTATCAAACTATTAATTACAAAAGTTATGAGATCAATTACAATAAATTAACGGAAACGCAATTTAATGTAATACTATGCAAGTTATTATCCTACCTTGTTCCGCGTCTTTCGTCTCGGTTTTCTAATCGAGTATCTTAGCTTCCGGTTATTCTGTCATGGCACTTTGAATATCTACCCATATAGTACAAATCTTTAAAAGACTTCTTAAAGAGTTCCAAAAGAGTTCCCAAGTTCTCTAGAACACTTTTAGAATTCTTTAAGAAGTTTTTTTAGAGATTTGTACTATATGGGTACTTAAGATTTTAACCATAATATTGATCCTTACACTCATACTGTCACTGTCACTGACACTAATACTATCGTCCTGCTACTAGCACTGATACTGATATTGCCATCTTGGCATTGACACTGAGTATCTTGGTTCCTGATTGCTTCATCGTGGCATTCCGAATATTCGCTTGTGGTAATAATATGGATACAACCAACGCGCAATACTTTTTTTAGAACTATCGATTGTTCCTTTCGCGACATATCCATTTCGGGCGCTTATTTAACGATATCTCGTCACGATGAATACACGAGACTTATTTGCGGCACTCCCAACGATATTCGCGCGCAACATTTCAATAACGAACGCGCAATATTCGAAACTCCTGACTGCCCGTTTCGCGACATACCTATTCCGAGCACTTATTTGACGATATCTTGTCAAGACAAATGTACAAGACTTACTTTCAATATCTCTGGTATAACTCCCGCAATAATTCGATCACAAGATTTGCATTCGGCGAGCTAAAATCGCAAAAACGGGACAATTCATGAAACACGTTAATTTGCCGCGTCGTGGTTCGTCTTCGATACTAGTGTTGCTAATTCATGGGTGAGATTCTGCTAACCAAACGTTAGGCAAGTAAATAAAAGGTCTAAAGCCCGGTCTATACAATTCGCAGAACGCGAATGCAGGCCGCAACGCTTGTCGCGACAGCCGATCGAAAGCATCAGAGATGACTACTGACGTTCCTGATTGGCTGTCGCGATAAGCGTGTGGCATGCATTTGCGTTCTGCGAACTATGTAGAACAGGCTTTAAAGATTACTAGACCCGTTATTTCGACGTTGACGTTCAAATTAGTTTCAAAGTTTCCGCTACGAGGCACCACTTTCTTCAGCGAGTGAAGTCGTGGTACAGTAGATCGCAAAACAGTTTTGACACAATGTGGTCCATATTCTTAACTCACTTTTATCGATAAAGTCTTTAAAAGTAGTTTAAAAGCCACTTAATTTACTGAGAAGCAACATTTAAGATACTTTTATCGATAAAAGGGAGCTCAGAATACTACCCAATGAATTTTAGAATGCAGCAAATAGTCTAATAAGAGAACGAATAGTCAAAAATAAATTCTCTTATTGAACCATCTACTACGTGAATGTTGGTTTACCTGCACGCTACGTCGCACAAGAATGTCTAATCCAGCTGCATTTGCTTTCTGATATTTATAAATGTAATAAAACACATTATGCGCGGCTGTTTCACCGAACGATCGATACAGCCACGATCAGGCTCTTATTGGCCCTACTTTCTTCACTTTAGATTGTTTCTAAAGAAGCATTTACATATATTCGAATTTACAGCTTGATAATGTTGCAACATTGATTTAATTTAATTAACAGTGTGCAGTTTTAACGTGTAATTGTAATAAAATTTTACTGCTCCGCAGTTTCTTGATTCTAATTCCAAGTTTGTCTATTACTTGAGTTAAAATTTATGATATTGCGCGCAGACATATTATATCGAACGATGTGAAACAATTCAAAGTTTCATGTGTGTTAAGTGATATAAGAGTAATTGATTTTTGCAAGAACCCAAGAAATGTTACGTTGCTGGGCTATTGCTTAGCAACCAGAAAAGTCAACAGAAACGGTTACGCCACGCTATACAGCTGTTTCAGTTGTACGAAGTGGCAGATGTCTTTCTCAAATGTCAGTGCCGAATGTCATCGGAGGTCGCGACCGGAGTGTTTCCCGCTTTCGCGTGGATCTTCATGATCGACGGCACCGATCGCGAGGACGCCCACATCTTCCGGACATCTAACGATTCTCCTCTCATAAACCATTTTCTATGAAGCTGTCGTGAAAGGTATGTACATGGGATGATCTCCAGATGAAGATGACAAGACGTAAGAGAATTCATCTAAATACAATACTGCCTATCAAAAGAACTTATCGTAACTTTAACATAGAAAAAATATACTGTGAAACAATGTTTCAAATAATCTCCGAATTTTATAATTTATACATGCATTAGGTAATTAAAAAATTACTATTAATATAGTACTATTATTATCAAATAAGTACGTAAGTATAATTTAAAAAATAATCTAACACATTTTTATGTGTTTATATTTATTTACCTATTTACTTAAAATATATTAACCTATATATATTACCTATATATTTACCTATTTACTTAATATATTAACCTAGACAATATGCCTAAAATCGGGACATAAGACGTCTTAAAGGTAATCTTTGAGACGCCTTAAAGACATTTATACGTAAATCGTCTGAAAGACATCTTAAAGATGATCTTTAAGATGTTTTATGTCCCGATAGACATTATGTTATCTGGGAATAGTATTAACCCTAGGTATACACTGGAGTCTCCGAGACCCGAGGCAATGTTTAAAACTCTAGTATTAGTAGAGAGAATAAGTAAGGAGGATACGACCACCGTGTAAAAAAATTTTGAAATCTCCTCTATAGATAACTATACAAGTGTCGGAGCAGTCAATTCGGTTTTGTGGTAATTCACACAAAGTAAGCGTGGGGTTTCCCAGACCCCAGTGTGTACTTTTTGCAACTTTTTTGCAAGTAAGTATATTTTGTAATTAATTTTATTCGAGTTCATAGTGTAAATATATATTCTAAAAAATGTTAGATTAAATAAATAATGTAAAAAAAAGAACTAATTTTTATTGGGAGACAAAAATACACGGACTAAACGCCCAAAATGATATTACTTTGAGTGAATGTTATTGAGTGAATGTTGCCGCTTTTAAATTATTTACATTTTTCTTTTTTTGTTTCTGTTTCTGTTAATGCATTACAAGTTATTGAGTTTGTATTTTTTAATAAAAATCCTAACTCTTATACCTGTCTGCAAAACCGCTAGAAAATAGAAATATGAAAAATCGTCAATCTGGGAGCCTTTTAATTTTTATGATAATATTCCAATATTTAAACGACGATTTTTTTTCTTTGTACCTTGAAATATGCTCTTTCAAAATCTGAAAACTTTTTTGATTATCTCTATTATCAAAAAATATATGAATTTTTAAAGCTATTACGGTAAAATGACATTTCCTTTGCATTCATGAGCAACTCTAATTTTTCAACACGTCTTTATTATGTGCTTATTATGATTTAATTCTAATTCTTAATAAATATATGTGTTTATCAGTCTATTAACAATCGGGAAAAAAATCAAAATACAGTGATTTTTACCGGAGTTATAATAAAAAAAGTAGCTGGAGTTCTTTAGACCTCTGTGTAGCATCTACGTATGCAAAAAATAAGTGTGTATACCTAAGGTTAAGTAATTAATTAAGTAATTACTGTTGACATATCAGGTAATTAAATGATCCAATACATTTATGGATCACCAGGCGTAGCCAGGGAGGGGGCTGAAAGAGCTGCAGCTCCCTCCGAAATTAATTTTCTGGTTTACGTTAAGTGTGAAAGAAATTTTTTCGAATAACCTGTTTTTTTGCTTGTCAAAAATAAAAAGTACAAGCCCCTCCGAAACTTTTTTCTGGCTACGCCACTGCGGATCACAAACTCACAATGAAGATTGTGTGCATTTTGAGATTTATTCGAGGGAATCTTTTCTTTTCATTTACTTCAGGCTGCAAAATGGCATATAGACAGCAACCGGTGCAGGACGAATTGGAGCTGGAGACGATGGCGGAGGCTGAGCTCTCGAGGCTGAAGAGACAGTACAGAATAATGGAGAACGATCGGGCGGCATGCGTGGAGGACGCGAGATTACAGCTACGCAATCAGCAGAATATGATCAACCGTCTGGAATATGAGAAGGCCGAACTTCTGTTGGCGATTAAGACCGCGAAATCGAAATCTTTCGCGCGTAAGGACATGGAGATGGACGAGAAGCTGAGATGTCTCCTGGTGAAGCACGCCAAATATATCGATATGATAGAGAATGAGAAGCAGCAGATAACTGAGCTCGACGAGCAGATCTGCAAGGTTGCTGGTATTGCCAATGTTGAGCCTACATAGACATACATAAGTAATGATGAGTTATGTTTATCGTTGATTTATAAATTTTAAAAAATAGCACGAAATATAGATATCCCAGTAAACACAAAGTATCATCAATGTTACAATATCAGCTCAATCATATGGTATATACTGGTTACTTTATTATATAACAAAGTAACAGTTACATAATATATCATATGATTGACCTGACATTGTAATATAGATGATACTTTGTATTTACTAGGATAGTTGTATATGAAACCGAACAACTTTAGTTACTGCATAAATTATACTGCAAAATTAGAGGTTCGATGAGTGGCATAGGAATTTTCTTTGGTTCCTAATAGATTTTGGTGCTGAATTTAAATGTGCTCGCAAAAGTGTTTATCACTTCTAGATTTTGGGAGAATTAAGACTAGATTTCACAAAAACGGGTTATTGTAACGATTTTTTTAGCAACTATAACACTTTTTGGAAATATACATACTTATAACAGCTAAAAATCGTTAAAACGGCTTGTTTTTGAAAAATTAGCTTCAATTGTCTCAAAATCTAGAAGTAGTAAACATTTTGCGGGAAGATTTGGATTCAGCACATCAAAATCTATTAGAAATCAAAGAAAATTTCTATGCCTTATTATCGGAACCTGAACTTTGCAGGTCAGACTGTGTTATTCATGACTATCGATAATAGACGAGAGAAGACCACGACTGTCGCCAAACGGAGATCGATTCGTCTCCGCTGACGTCGAATAAGGAAACAGAGTGCTTTCATCCGCGACTTCGTATTATAGCGTATAATATGTAGGAATTATGTTGCAGCTTTCGAAAGAAGTCGTCAGGTTGAAAACGAAAGTACGCAGTGACACGCAGCTGAGAGACCTGGCGGTACGGCACAGCAGGATGATATTTATGCTGGAGAATCGGGTAGAAGTGGCCACAAAGAGGTTCAACCTGGTGATAGCGGAGAACACCAAACTGCGCGCTGAGATCGAGAACCTACTGAAAGAACGGGCGCAGTTCACGCAGATGTGGAACAAGCTGATCAGTCAATTGAACACGGGCAAGCAGGTTATCAATGACTTGATCGAGCAGGCGACGATCACGTTCAATCAGCGCGACGAAGAACTCAATAAGATCCAGGCGCTTCGCGAAAGGTATTCTCTTCGTTCGTTGAATTTTCCACATCAGCGACGTCGATCTTAAAATCACGGCGATTTGTATGATCGTTCGCGCAGATTCCGGCATCGTAATTTATACGCAAAGTAATATTTATGGTTCGCGACGACGACGACGATAAGGAATTGCGAAAGTGGAAACGTTCGCCAGATTTTTGCCCTATAATTCAGATATTGTCGTTAACGACGCGAGACTTATTCGCATTCGACCTGGAATAAATGTTTGAACGTCGTCGCCGCCGTTAAATTAGAAACTCGATGTACCGAGAGCAATGGTTGGTGGAGCCAATGGTGCGTGGAATTTCCGCCGGTCGCGATTTCCGCCTAATCGTGACGGCTTTACCTTGATGTATTCAGCCGTCGTACGACAATGCGTAATCATTTCCTGGCTGCAAAAAAAAAGTCTGAGGACCATTTCGTTCACCAGAGGAATACGAGACCTGAAGAATCACATGTCGGAGATGTGCGAGCTAAAGAGGACTTTGGACAACGAGATGAAGCTACAGGAGTTCCTCGGCGTGAAAGGACAGTACCGCGAGATGGCCGATCTGAACGCGAAGAAAGAAGCCGAGCGGCAGGCTAAAAGAGAGGAAAAGCAGAACAAAATAGAGGCCTTCACACATATCTTACAAACGATCAAACAATACACAGGTAGCGTAAAATGAACTCATACTCAGGGTAATTAATAATCTGGCTTTTGAAGGCTTCTGTTCATAGTTGAAACGTGGACGAGCTATCTTAGGTCGATAGGTTTTCAAAATGCATTTTGTTCTTATATTTTTAATGTACCTTGAAAAATTTAAATCGGAAATTTTTTCATTTTTATTTATTTATCTCTCGTTATTTAAATTTGTCTTGTTTTATTCGATAATGAAATTTCATTTTCGATTACTTTCCCTAAACAATGGGGTTGAGATATCGGCCACAATTAACAATCGTAAATCAATAATATCGAGCAGGTGAGCAAGAAATCGACAAGCTCACCGCGCATTTCATCAAGCAAGAGGAGGAGAATTTCGCGCTCTTCAGTTACGTGAACGAACTGAACGATGAACTGGAGAGTCTTCAGTCGAGGATGGAGCAGCTGACGGCAGCGATTGACGAGGCACGTGTTCAGAACGTGCATCGCGATCAGGAGCAGACCGAAACCTTGGAAAAGATTACCAAACAGTTGGAAGAACAAACCGCATTGGCGGACACTGCCGAGGAGGATTTCGCGAAGGTTCTACTTGAAACGCATCTGACTATCATTCTATACTTCAGAAATCGCAAAAACATTGGCACAAAACGTCATTGTAATCTAAATTGTTGAATTCTCATAAGGAAATTGAGATATTTCAGAGGTCACCTCGTTATTCCGAATGCCAGCCTTGACCCTAATAGAAAAAAATAGAAAAATGAATAGAAATAATAGAAAAAGTGTCCAGTCAAACCGTTTCGACACATCCGTGTTATGACTCGGCAATACTTAGAAGTCAAATGAAACGATTATTCATATCTTGTTTCAGTGCAACGACATAATGGAAAAACTGCTATCCGGGATCGATGCCCTCTTCAAGTCGATACGATGCGACAATTCGCCGATTTTAGAGCTCCTGGGCGACAACACCCACGTGACCATGAGCAACGTTATGCTCTACTTGGGTATTATTGAAAAACAGATCACCGAGATGTTTCACAAAGTTTATTGGGTGGACAAGGCCACCAAGGCACCACATTTGCGGTTAGACGAGAACAAGAAGCCCAGACTGAAAGTACCCACTTTGAGTCGGATCGTACCCACGCAACCCTGTGCCCTGTGAGTCCTTCCCATACCTTCTCATGATCCTTCATTCAAACTTTCACCCTAATCCTTGTGGATAGTTGATAGGCATCCTCGGGACATGCATTTAGTCTTAAACACTTGATATTTCTTTATTTATATATATATATATATATATATATATATATATATATATATATATATATATATATATATTCAACGCCTCGATCTTTCTTCCGCCCTAAAACTGTAATTTAAAGAAGTGAGTTACATCAAGCCCTATCCGATTACATTAATATCTTCACGCCGTTGTACGATGCAGCTGCGTAGAGGAAGAGCAAATGCAATTCGTATCGGAGGGCCTGGAGGCGCCGCTAACACGTGCCGAAGCCATGCAGAAGCTGCGACAAACGCTCGAGGACGATTACTCAGAGCTGCTTCATAACGTATCCGGCTGTCACTTACCGGGGGCTAGGAAAATTATACAAAGGCGTTATCAATAAAGGGCATTAACACGACAGCGTTCCGTTTCTTATATTGCACACATTCGCGACTTGACCTTCACCTAATATCTTATAGGTGTTCGTATAAAAAACTTACAATGTTAGATTTACTGAGGAATTATTTGATTTTTACGAAAGTAAAATAACTAAAATATTGAAAAAGTATGATTATATATGTCAACTTAATGTTTTAGATAAAATTTTATTTATATTTGTTTAGTTCTTTTCAAGTTTACAGTTAATAGATTTCGAAAGTAATTGTATATTTTTTTCTTCTTTTTTAGAAATTTCTTTTTTTCATTATAAAAAAACAATCTGTTCTTCACTTGCGGCCACTTCGTCGTCGTTTGTCAGTTATGACGGAGAATAACAATGAACGAATACTCTTACGACGTATCTCCCTCTTCGCGCGCTTTTCTCTTGGCGACCTTGATGATACGCCTCAATTCGAGGATGGTTCGTTTGATTTGAATCAGCTGCTGCTCGACGTCCTCGCTGCTCACCTTGATGGGTATCTCTTTTCTCTTACAAATCTGTTGATAGATGTTCCAGCAGCACGCTTTCACTTGCGTAAACTCTAAGTTCTTGGCAGCGGCAATTTCTTTTATTTTCGAGACGATCGATTCCCACCTGAGTGCCTGCGATTTCGCACGATTATATCGTGTTTGCAATTGCGCCAATTTGTTATCGAGTTCCATCAACATTTGGGATTTGACTTCCGTCAAGTGATACTGCGCGAAAAGAAGAATTATTTCCCAAATAAAATCTTACAAACGAATGTATACAAAGCCAGAAAATGTAAAAAAAGCTAAAATATACTAAGCTTATCATAATCTAAAAAAATTGGCCGATTTAAAATCAGAAGAAATTAAGGAAACAAGCACAAGTGGAAACGTGTGATGAATATTGAAAAAAAGATGTTTAGTATAACTGTAAGCTTATAGACAAATAATTATAAATTATGGTCAAGAAGGTCATTCTTTTTTTATTATATTATAATGTTAATGATAGTAACCTTATATGCACGTTGCTACTACAATTTTCATGTTAGAATAACCAAAAAATATAATTGGAGCTAAAAATAATTGTAATTTCAGTTAGATCAACTATTTTTCTCTCACTAAATAAATCAAAATTGCAGTGTTTCGGGCCATTTGCATAATGAAAAGAAACAAAGCAACTTCAATCAAATTTTGCGTGATAATTACTGAAGCGTACAAAAAGACAAAGTAATTATAAATTAACGATTTAAAATTAAATATAATGAGACAAGTAGGATAGCGATTCCGTGGTGAATCCGAGTAATAAGGTTTAAAACTACAAGCACGTACTATTTCTGTGCCTTTGTCTTCCAGCATCTGAAGATTTCTGTCCTGGTGATCAGACAATGCTTGTCTGGCCTCGACTAAAGTTTCGTAACGATTAAAGATATCATTGATCGACTGGAACTCGTCCGTTTCGTTTACCACACGCTCCAAGTAATTTTGATACTTTTTGTATATGTCCGTGTACCGTTTCATCTTATCTAGCACCTCTCTCATGTAATGCAATTTCTGTTCGAGTTCATCGGCCTAATAAGAAGAAAGAAAAAGGTTACTGACTGCACACGATTTGATTTAAATCTTTTATTTTCTTCCTTTATTAAGATAATCGATTAAGACCGCGCTCAATAGTTCCGCTATAGAGTTTCGCATGTATGCATCTACAGGATTCATTTCTTTCGATACTTCTCGTTTGAATTTCTCCTGACGCTCATGTTCCTCCTTGATCTTTTGTTCCGCTCGTTCGCGCTTCTCGACGTTCTCTCGCACGAGTTGATCAAAGTTGACGAAGGACTGCCGTAACAGTAATGCCTGATTTCTCGCCTCCTCCCATTGCTTATCCATATCTTTACGCTTTGTCTCCTGTTCTGCCCATTTATTTTTTAATACTTGGTCGATCTGAGCCAGTTCTCGGCGAGCCCTGATCACCTCGGTCGCCGGACATTCTCTCATTTTATCCCAATCTGGGTATATTCTATTATGCAAATATGTTATTTAATCATGACATATCTAATGCGAATATTCTCAAAAGTATAACTTCTCTATTATCATTACTATTATTAGAGCAAATGTTAATTCCACAATTATATTGTCATATCGTTTGCTTGTGGAAGTAATATCTTTCTTCAAGATTAAAGAATAACATTTTATACGACAGTATTGTTTCCTTCGTATTCCTGTCAATTGTTGCACATCGTTCAATTTATACATCTTTATTTTAATATTACTGTTATATCTTACAACTTTTTAACTTACAATTTAATATTATCCTACGATATATTAAAAATAACAAAAAGCATCTTGTTGCAATCAGATAAGTATTTGTAGTATTTCTAATTATGATACATTACTTGATTTTATGTTCCTCTTGTTTGGATACGAAATACTCCGTAATTGCTTGCTGCGGATCTGTCGTAATAACAGCTCTTTGAACCAAATTTTTCGATTCATTTTGATCAGTGTCCATATTTTTCTAATCCAAGTATCTCTTACTAACTGCAATTTTCGATGAACGTGTTAATCAAGGTCTATACGCTTTGAAAAGTCTCATCGGAGGAAGTGCACTTGCCGTACGCGATTGATCGATCAAACAAATTGAATACAGCTGCGCGCACATTCACGACAGTTCTTCTGAGATAAGGATTCTTTATTACGCAACATATAAATTCTCATATCGAAAAGAAATATCATTTCTCGTACGAAACAGAAGTACGAATAATACATTTATCACACGATCATGCAAATAATACATTTATCAATCTTTAAGGGTCGGTTTTTCAATGATAGTTTAAACTTAGATTTCAACTTAAACTCGGTTTAAACAAAACAAATGCATTGTTAGAATAGAGTTTAAGCTTGAATCCAAGTTTAAACTGCTATTGAAAAATCGGCCTTAAATATTACGGAGTGTTTAAAACTAATAAAATGAATTCGAAATAATTCAAATTAGAAACAAACAACGTCATAAAAACGTGACTATAATTTGAAATTTTTTGCATTGTATTTCTTGCAATCATATCGAGAGAAAATACGTGAAAATTTATTTGAGGAATACAAAATTCATTTCCGTAAGATAAAATTTGTTTTTGCGAAATAAAGTTTATTTCTGTGAATAAACCTTATATTCCCATTAATAAATTTCAAGTGTTTCTTCCTCAGGGTAGACGTAAAGATTTCGACTTTTATTCACGACTTGATATTTCGACTTGATATTTTCTCAAGCGTTATCGAGCAAAACAATCACGAAGAATTAAAATAACAATGTATCGATTTTGTCTGCTAGTTTAATCTCGCCTGTCTGAGATGTGCCATCAGTCAAAAAGTGCGACCAGTATTCGGAACGACGTGGCAAGTACGATGTTGCAGGAAAGAAGCTATAAGGATACTCGTTGAAAATAACAAACAGAACTTTATTAATATCGTACACTTTTTACAAGAGGTCAATAACTTTGTCAAAGGAAAGCACGTCTACGAGATAACAGGCTGACCACGAAGGAGGAGGAAAAGAGGGAGAAAGGGAAGGAGAGGAGAGAAGGAGGAAAAGTACGGTAATCGAGGGGTGAGAAATGCGTTCACGAGTGGACTTCCTGACCGAGAAGAGAAAGTTGTTTAAGCAATTGCTTGGCATTGATAAAGGACGTGGAACCGTAGATCACCCGCTTGTTGACGCCGGCGCCACTGCGCTGCTTCACGTAATCCAGCAGATTCTGATACTCGATATAGTTACCACCACCCACGATGAACACGATTACCTCTTGGAAGGTCGGCCTGTTCTTCGGCATCTGCTCGGTATGCTTGAGCTGCTTCGGGTCCAAATAGCAGTAATCCTCGGTGCGGGAGGACTGTTTGGACTCCATCAGCTCGTCGACTATCTTGGTAACGGGCAGGTTGTGCCTCTTCACCACCAGATTCTTCACGCCCTCCATCACGAAGGACGAACCCTGATTCATCAGCTTGGAGAACATGCTGACCGTCTTGGTACCACCGCCCTCGTAGTTGCTCTGAATCTCAGCTATCCTGGTGTAGCTGCGCAGTCTCTTGATATAGATCAAGGGATTCAAGTCGCAACCGGCTGCGGTGAGCGCGGCCTCCAATTTGCTGTAGTCTGTGTCGGACATGTTTGTGCATATGTAGTAGATCATAGCGAGACGCAGTTTGTCCTCGAGCGTGCCGCAGTCCGGATCAGCGATGGTCTCCAGCACGCTTCTGTCGAGCGTCTGCTTGCTCATGATCTTCTCCTCGAGCTCGAAGAAAGTATCCAGCCGGCGCGACTTGATTGCGTTGAGAATGCCGGTGGCGACCGAGGTGTGCATGTCGATGAGACGCTTCATCTCAAGCAACTGCGGCAACGAGTTGACCGCACTGGTCAATCGCGCCGTATTGTTCGACACCATGGATAACGCAAGCTCGCTCTCGTTATCGATGCCCATGGAAGACTTGAGCTTTTTCACGTCCTCCTCGAAGGTGCGATATTGTTCTAATTCTTCCTGTATCGCCTCAGCCACTCTGGGGAAGGGGCTGCCCTTATGCTCGCACCAGAATCGGTCTCTGCTGTCCAACTCGTAGGCGCGCGTCTTGGAACGCGTGCCGCCAGCAGGTGAGCGACCCACGTTCTCCTCCACGACTAGTCGGTTCAGTGCCATCTCCAAGACATCGTGTGCCAACGCCTGGTACGTCCAAGTGTGATGCAGCGGTGTAGCCATGTCCACATTGCGGTCTAGCACGATGAGCAGAGGCCGCTGAAAGCTGTAGTGCCCGCTAGCGCCGACCTCTCCCTCGAACAAGTTATTACGCGCGTCCCACACGTTCTCGCGGAGCTTTTTGTCGATTAACTTGGCAACCATCTCGGCGGCGTTGCCGCGCGGACAACGGATGATGGGTACAGTGCCTAGAGTAACCAACATTGAGAATAAGCAGTCCACAATCAAGTCCATCACGCAATCCATCTCGCTGTCCTTGACGTCACCGCGATTGATCGCATGGTAGGATATCACGTCGCTGTTCTGATGACGCAGCACGAACAAATCGTCCTCCAGGCTGATGAAGTTGAGATATTGGTCGAACACTTTGTGGATACTGGAGACCACGCCGCCGAGCAGCGCCGCGGCCGCCAAATCCTCCATCTTCTGCCGCGATATCGGCGAGATGAAGTTCAAGTGGTAGATATCGTAAAGACTGTTCTGCAGGTCCTGCCCAATCCTCCCGAGATTCTCGTCGGTAGGCGCGCAGAAGTAGATCGCTGGTACTTCAGGGATAGAGTCGCGATCCGAGTGAAGTTGCAAATGTAATGTGATGCCGAGTTCGCGCAGCTCCTTCACGGAGATGAGCGGCGATATGATGTCCTGGCCCAAGCGATCATAGACAAGAATCTTCCACGTCGGCACCGCCTCCTCGAGTCGCGACTCGGGCTCATTTAGATTTAGCATCTGCTTCAACGCATTTATCTGGAGATCGCGTAGATTCACCATGGTTAGACCTATGGTATAGACCTAACCTCTTCTTAGCGCGTCTTCAGTTTCTCGAGCTCACGGTGAGACAACCACCGTTCCAGTCGTCAGGTCGCGGACACCACTGTCTTGAAAGATCAACGACTGGGCACTCTGCTGTCACATGAAGAGCGAGTATCAAAATGCTCCAAAATCTGACATTTCAACCTAGCGCTTGGAGTTGTCAAAACGTCCAAATGACACGCAAGGAGGAAAACGAGTGTCACGCTGGCGTTTTCGCTCGACACGCAGCGCTCCCTACACAGCTAAAGAGCTCTCTCTCTTTCTCTCTTGTAGGCTTAAAGGCCCTTGCATAATGTCAGGTTACAGGCAATAGAAATAGACATTAGCCAATAGGAACAGAGAATAGAAATAATTGACCAATCCGAATTCCTATTCCCTGTTCCTATTGCCTGTTGCCTGACATTCTGCAAGAGCCTTAAGTCCCGATCTACAATAGGTGTAGTAAGCTTTAAACCTTAAGAAATTGATCAATCATAGTGATCTTATAAAGGAATAATCAATTGTGATTGGTTAATTTCTTACGGCTTAAAGCTTACTATACCTATTGTAGATCGGGACTAAAGGCTCGTCTATAATTTCTGTAAGAATATGACTGTAATGGCTATTGCACACAGGACGCGGTAATGCTTGCCGCTCGGCGGAAGTTCGCACGACAGCCAATCAATATGCTGCTTTCCATAATAATCTTCTAGCTCTTACGGAAAAACAACATATTGATTGGCTGTCGCGCGGATTGGTGGACTTCCGCCGCGTGGCAAGTATTACCGCGTCCTGTGTGCAGGAGCCATAAGTCTGTAAGACACGAAATGAATTATTTTCACTCGCTGACAGCTACGTTACAGCCTTACAGCCATATTCTTATAGCTATTGTAGACGAGCTTTAAAAGGTTATCTACAATGGAAAATCGTACGCCATAGCAATAAGAAATTGATCAATCATAGTGGAATTTTACAATAATAATCGATTGTGTTTGGTTAATTTCTTATTGCTAGGCGTATGATGTTCTATTGTAGATGGTCATTAATGGCCTGGTTTACATAAGAAATTGACCAATTACACTGGAGTTTTACAAGAATAATCGGTTGTGATTGGTTAATTTCTTACTGCTAGGCATACGATGTTCTATTGTAGATGGTCATTAATGGCCTGGTTTACATCATGCACTTGATACGCATACTAAATAGTAATTTTCTATTAGATAATTTTAATATTGACAACACATATCAACGGCGACGCATTCAATCAATACAATACGTTTTCATAATGAGTATTATACCAGCTTAATATACCGTTGTATATATATGTACGATATTAAGATTATCTAAAGTCAGCGGCACACGATGCTTGTTTTTATGCTGAATTGCTTGTTGAATGGAAATACTCTGTTCTGATTGGTGCATTTCTGAAGACGGACCAATCAGAATAGAGTATTTCCATCCAGCAAGCCACCACGAGAACAAGCATCGTGGTTGCGTTCTTTTATTTACAACAAATGTATCTGGGTAGCGATCATAAATCTTTCACGTGAACTTCATTTTCATTTTTCACTTTTATGTAATATATTTATGTAATATTTATGTAATATAGATTATTAAAATTAAAATGTAATTACAGTATACACAATGCAATATATAACACATTAATAAGCATTATACAATTTATAGTTATAATTAAATTTATAGTTAAAAATTAAATTTATAGTTATAATATAATATAATAATACAATACGAGTAAATCTAATAAATGAGACGAACGTTAACCGTGGAGGTGAATTCTCAAAACGTGAAATATTTCACGTGAACTTTCAGTTTGCTCGTATATGTTCTTCTTTACATGTAAATTGTGTAAGTTTTCATGAAAATTTTTAAGCATCAAGCGATGTGGTTTAAATGTGAAAAATAATGTAATACTACACTCGCATATTATGTACAAAGTGAGTAGAATTTCTTATAGTCACTTTAATTTTTATGGTTATACGACAATTGGCATTTGACATAAGAATTCTACGTCCATTAAAAATGAACAACGAAAGCCGATTGAAGCGTGATGACGTATAGGCAGTGAAAATATTCCGACGAAGTTTGCAAAGTTAAGATACGTATGCATTAGAAAATTAAAGTGTAATATATTATAAATTGTATGCAATAAGTAAAATGTAAGTTTATTTAATGAATTTATTGCATGTATTTTATGTATTATTTTATATGAAATATACATTTTCTGCAGAAAATGTGCATTAGAAAATTAAAGTGTAATATATTATAAATTGTATGCAATAAGTAAAATATAAGTTTATTTTATGTATTTATTGCATGTATTTTATGTATTATTTTATATGAAATATACATTTTCTGCAGATTTATAATTTTAATATAAATAGAATATTTTATCTTTCATAATTTATCCTAAAGTAATCCCAGACAAGCAGACTTCCAAGGGACGTTCTAAAGACATCACTATGTCTTAAAAACATGCTGAAAAAATTATAAAGATGTCCATTGCAAATTGGTGTTGTTTTGAGTATATTGTAATATTTGTTTTATTTACAAATTCACGTTAAATTTTTCATTTTTCACGAGTTTAGTGAAGGTTTTCATCTTCCACGAGTTCATTACAAAATTTTTTCTTTTCACGAGTTCACATTAGGAGAAAGGATGATCGCTACCCAGAAAATGTCCTGAGGATGTCCTAGGGAGTTTTTATGTCCTCAGGATATCCCTGAAACGTCCCCAAGGCACCTTGTGCTGTTTGAGAAAGATTGATTTAGGATGATCGTAAGTTCCGATCTACAATAGATGTAGTAAGCTTTAAACCTTAAGAAATTGACCAATTACAGTCGATTATTCTCCTCAAATTTAATTGTGATTGGTGAATTTCTTAAAGCTTAGGGCTTAAACCACCTATTGTAGTTCGCGACTAATGGCTCCTGCACACAGGACGCGGTAATGCTTGCCGCGCGGCGGAAGTTCGCGCGACAGCCAATCAATATGTTGTTTTTCCGTAAGAACTAGAAGGTTATTACGGAAAGCAGCATATTGATTGGATGTCGCACGAATTTTTGCCGCGCGGCAAGCATTATCGCGTCCTGTGTGGAGGAGCCATAAGGCTGAGTTCCCACTGAGCGCGTAATGCGTCGTGTCGTCTGCCCGCGTCACGAGTTAACCAATCAAATCGTTCCATTGGAACAAATGCGTTGTGCATTGCGCATTGCGTCATCCCAATTAGAAGATTTGATTGGTTAACTCGTGACGCAGGCAGCGTCACGACCCGTGATACGCTCAATGGGAACTCAGCCTAAGAAATTGGTCCCGATCCACAATAGGTGTAGTAACCTTTAAGCCTTAACAAATTGACCAATCACAGTGAGGGTGCCATTACATGAAGCGTGGAAACACGGAAAGCAAAATCTTATTAGATCCGCTAAGCGTTCCGCGTCTGTTTTGATTGCCTTATATTACATGAGGCATATTTTGGGGTGCGTTCAGATTCCCTACCTAGGTGCACTCTGTTACTAGAAACACTATAGTATATGTCACATATACTATAGCACTTCTTGTATTAGAGTGCACCTGGTAAGGAATCTGAACGCAGCCATAAGTAAACGGTTACGGCCATCATAAATCGGCCTTTACGATCATCATAAATCTAAAGAAATTGACTAATCACAGTCGAATTATAGAGGGATAATCAATTATTATTTGTTAATTCCTTACTTAAAGCTTTAAGCTTAATTTGGCTTAATTCAACCTTATGGCTCCTGCAGATTGGACGCGGTAATATTTGTCGCGCGGCGGAAGTCCGCGCGACAGCCAATCAATATGTTGTTTTTCCGTAAGAGCTTGAAGGTTATTACGGAAAGCAACATATTGATTGGCTGTCGCGCGAACTTCCGCCGCGCGGCAAGCATTACCGCGTCCTGTGTGCAGGAGCCATTAGCCTGAGTTAACGGTTCTATTGAACACCACGAAATTGGCACACTGCTTGATTGGACACTGCACGATTCCAATCGTGCGCAAGATATTAGCCGACAAAATTGACACCGCGTTAGGTTAGGAAATCTGTCACACCAACGACATGTCTATTTATAGCCATGTGACTGGGGGGCTTCGCTCAGATCTTCCACACCGCGGCAGAGGGAGGCCTAATCGTTTGTGTGAGGTTTTCATTTTTTTAAAAATACATATTTTTTCATAAAATTTTTTAGCATACATTTTATATGTATAGTGTGAAGAAACTACACCATGTTTACGAAACTTTTTTTGTTTATAATTTTAAGACGCAATAATCGATAAGGAACAACGCGATAGTCAATCAAATTTGAATCGTGCGGTGTCCAATCGTGTAGTGTACTAATTTTGTAGTGTCCAATCGCACGGTGTCCAATTGCATGGTGTCTAATTAAGCGGTGTCCAATCGCACGGTATCCAATCACACGGTGCGGTGATCCAATTGAGCGTATCCAATCGAGCGTACCTAATCGAACTATGTCCAATCGCACCGTGGTCAAATGAATGTTACTCCGTTTGGAGCTATTGAATATCGAAGCTATGTTCCGATGTTCACTGCCAGTATTGAAAATTTATATATAACATAGATGTGGATATTCATCCATAATTCTCTTACTGCTTTTACGAAAAAAATACGAAAAAACTCACAATTTTGGATGTAAACACCCAAAAACTGGGGATAAACATTTAAATTTGAGTGTTAACATCCATAAATAAAGGTTTTTTCGTATTTTTTTCGTAAGAGTGGAACTTGAATATCGCACGTCGGGTACGGGAGCGGTGCACTTGGACACGGTGCATTTGGACACAGCCAATCACAGCACCGTGTGATTAGAGACATTTGTAGGGTCCCTTGGAACAGCGACTTGTGATTGGACTGTGTCCAATTGCCCCGTGTCCACCTGATATACACCCATCGGGTACGATGCAAATCCTATTGGGGGCCAATTACAGTTCTTTAACGAATTTACTCACTTTTCGTATTATCATTTCACGTGACATTGGTCACTCAATTATGAAACTGCCGAATGAAAATGTGAAATAACTATAACTATTCCCGATGTAATGTTCTCACATTTTCATGAAAAAGGTTCGCCTATAGTGCACCCGATATTCAGATTAGAGCGATGCTACAAAGAGTGTTTCCGATAATACCTCTCCGAGTCATTTTCCTAGAGCAGAAATAAGTTACAGACATCACCAT